CAAGACATCTTCTAGGTAAATATGGGTTGGTTGATGGTGGGTAGGGAGGGTGAAAAGGGAAAAATACCACAGATGGTCTTCTGAACTTGAGATAGGGGAAAGAGAGAGAGCAGGAGTGGACTAACAAGTTATTGGAAATAGCCACTGGAAATGCCTAATTTAGATCAGGGGTCTCCAACCTTGGCAACTGTGTTTAAACCTGGTCAAGGCCAACCGTCCTGCATTACCAACCTGATGATGTCTTTTGGAGATGCACCCCACATGACACCTAAGGGAGTTGCAGATTGGACGCTGGGTTGGGGTCGGTGGAGGGAGGGGGCTGGGTTATCATTTGATATGTACTTGTTCGCGCCTTCCTGGCTCAGATCTTGCTTTACTTTCGCTGCTATCTTTTCATAACCAGTAAAAGTATTTTAATTCCACGAAAAATGGAGTTGGGAGTTTTCTTTCTTGGTTATCCACTTGGTGCTCCACCATGAGGCTTTTAAAAAGAGATTGGATAATTACTTGTCTGGAATGGTATAAGGCGAACCTATGGCACACTGGCCACAGGTGGCATGCAGAGCCCTCCATGTGGGCACGTCAGCCATCGCCCCAGCCCAGCTCCACCACACATGCGCTTGTGCCTTCCACCAGCCAGCTAGTCTTTGGGTCTCTGCCATGCATGCATGTGGGCAGGGCCTTCCCCGATCTCCACAATTCCCCCCCCCCCAGCGCTCTGTAGCTTTCTCCTGCATTCCTGCCACCTGTGCCCCCCGATCTCCACAGGTTCCATTCTCTGCAGGTGCACTCCGTGTCAGGAATGCAGGAGAAAGCTAGGGTGCGCTGGATGGGTGGGTGGGGGAACTGCGGAGATCAGGGAAAGCACAGGAGGCAGGAATGGAGGGGAAAGCTAGGATGCACTTGGGGGAGAAGCTGCGGAGATCGCGAGGCCTCTCCATGGCCTCCCATTTCGGGCCTGAAAAGCTTCCTGCACCAACTTGGAAGCCTGGAAGGACTGGGGACGCATGTTCGGAGGGCACATTAGCTGGGTGTGTGTGTGCATGCACAGAAAATGCACGGGCATGCGTAGGGGTGAGGCACATACATGGGGAAGCACTCGTATTGCATTTTGGGGATTGTGGCGCGCATGCACGCACTTTGGACACTTGGCCCCAGAAAGGTTAACCATCACTGGTATAAGGTTGGACTAGAAGACCTTCAGGGTCTCCCTTCCAACTCTATTATTCTGTATTGTGAAGTGTGATCCTGAAAACATTTCAGAGGAAGCACCTGAAGGCAGGACAAGGCATAAAAGGGACTGGAGGCTAAAACATATGAAGAACGGTTGCAGGAACTGGGTATGTCTAGTTTAATGAAAAGAAGGACCAGGGGAGACATGATAGCAGTCTTCCAATATCTCAGGGGTTGCCACAAAGAAGAGGGAGTCAAGCTATTTGATCACCACACTATAAAAAAGATGTGGAGACTCTGGAAAGAGTGCAGAGAAGAGCAATCAGGAGGATGATGGGATTGGAGGCTCAAACATACGATGAACATTTGAAGGAACTGGGCCTGGCTAGTCTAGAGAAAGACCAGGGGAGACAGGATAGGAGTCTTCCAATATCTCAGGGGTTGCCACAAAGAAGAGG